TATAATTATTTACTATTTACTTTTACTTCACTTTTCCCCATCACTTCTCCGACCCACACAAAAGAGTTTCTGATGTATCAGTCCAAGATCTAGAGATGATTTGCTTGCTTTAAATTAATCTTTGTCAGGTTGGGGAGGATGGGGATCAAAAAAGGACATGTGAAGAGGAACTTGTTACACAACGATTTATCTGTAGTGCCTTAAATGAATTGCAGAACATTCACAGCTGCTTTTTTTTTAAAAAATGTACTTTTGTGTGGGTCGGAGAAGTGATGGGGAAAAGTGAAGTAAAAGTAAATTATATATATATATGGTAGATAATTAAATTATTTACTATTTACTGTTACTTCACTTTCCCCCATCACTTCTCCGACCCACACAAAAGAGTTTCTGATGTATCAGTCCAAGATCTAGAGATGATTTGCTTGCTTTAAATTAATCTTTGTCAGGTTGGGGAGGATGGGGATCAAAAAAGGACATGTGAAGAGGAACTTGTTACACAACGATTTATCTGTAGTGCCTTAAATGAATTGCAGAACATTCACAGCTGCTTTTTTTTTAAAAAATGTAAGTCTGTAGAACAGGGATCGTCAATAGAGATGTGTGATCTGGTATAACTATGCTGAAAATATAATTTAAAAAATACCTTACTGATATTTTTCAGATATATTTGGCTCTTCCAAATATATACAAAATACTGAAAAATGGGTCCTGAAAATCCTGGAAATATTCAGGATTAACTGGGGATATCAGGAGCCAGCATTTGCAGGCTTCCAGAACTATTTTAAAATTTCTTCCTCTCTGTGTTTCTATGTCTTCTGAGACAGGCTTTATATCAACTTGCCAGGCTGTTTTAGGTAAGATTCTGTCCCTTTCAAGTGTTTTGTTGTTGTTGTTGTTTAGCAGTTTGTTCTTTGCTGGAGGTGGTTTGTGTCGGGTTTGCCTTTTTGGTGGATTCTTGCATTTTATTTTTTAGAGTCTCATGTTTTACATAGGTTGAAATTTGTGCATTTTACATAGGTTTAGATTCTTGGGTGTTACATAGTTTCAGATTCTTAGGTGTTATATTGGTTGGGATTAGCAATAGCTTTCCTATGGGGACAGATTCTTGGGTTTTAAATTTTTCAAGGGGGTTCCCTCCATAGGAAACAATGGAGAATGGCTGGGGCACATTGTCTAGGGGCCCACAGAATTGGACCCCCTGTTCCAATTCACTTGAAATTTACGTGTTATTTAAAGGACAGGTACCAGCAAGTCCCCTCCAGTTTTGGTGCCAGTACCTTTAAAACCACCTCCCACTCCCTTGTAAAGATTCCCCATATGGAATAATGGAGTAAAGATTAGAAATCCCCCAAAACCCTGGATCCAAATACCATACTGATCTTTGGAACTCAGGAAACCAGGAATACCAATATTTTTTGGCTCCAATATACCTAGATCTCCAAAATACTAATTTCTTTTTGCTGCATGTCCCTAGTCCCCCACCTTTTTGAGCCCGTGGGCACTTTAAGAATTCTGACACAGCATGGCAGGAGCAGCCACAAAATTGCTGCTTTGGTTTACTTTCAGTCACAGAGTGAAGACCCTTGTGCTGTGGTGGTAGCTGTCGCCAGAACAATTATTTAAAATGTATATATATATATCTGCACAGCCAATTAAACCTCCAATGGCCAGTGAGAAGCCTTGCTGGGGAAAAGCCCCACCTGCCCCTGCCTGTTTTTCTAAAAACACTTGGTGAGCACCAGGAAATATACCTTTCTCCTCAAATCACCACAATAAAAGGGGCTAGGTATTTATTCTGTTTTTAAAGAATGTAAGTTGAGAAGTCAGATGATCTGCCAATCACCATTTTTAAAAAAGAAAAGAAAAGGCCCCCACTGTGGTATGAGTGCCAAAATGTCTACTATGGGGGGCTGGGGCAGGGAAAACGAGGGGAAACCTGCCATGTGGAAGCTCTACTGCTGCTGCACTGTACTGGCTACCACAACAGGGAAACCACAAAAGCCCATCCACATGTGGAAAGTCCATGTACCATAATCTTTTACACCCCCCCTTCCCCAAACTACACGGCAATTTGCCTAAGGCAGTGCTTGATAGAGCTCAGTTCTACATAAGTGTGCTCAAGACAGCAACGTCAGAAGATTAATCAGACTAATGGAATAAATGGGATTAATCTGATTTATTAGATGATATAATCAGTTGCTTAAAATCTTTTGATACCAGCAGCAGATTTTATTTTTTTGGTGGGGGGGAAGGGTTTTGCTGTAAGAACTTAGGAATTCACTGGCACCAGTCACCTTCTTAGAAGAGGCATCCTTCCCCTTCTTTCACACAGAAAACTGAATGCTTATCTTGGGACGGTGTCAGTGAATGCTTATTTAATGGAGTCACAGTTCTAACTTCTAACTATCTTTCTTCGTCTAAGGTAAACAGAATAATGGATAGGCTTGATAATGAAGTTTATTCTCCAACCATAATTGAAACAATTAAGGAATTGTACCAATGTGTCCCAATATGGACCAAAAGAACTTTAGTAACACAGAAATGATTTTTTTAAAAAAAAAAACCCTACATCAATATCCAGAGTGTCTTTAGGCATATTTTCTACAACAAAAACTGGAAAAAAGTTGGATGAGAGTGTGTGAATTGCCCATGGTCATCCGGCAAACTTCCATGGCAGAGTGGGGATTCGAACTTGGGTCTCCCAGATTCTAGTCCGCCCCACACCGTTTCAGTCCCTGCTGCCGTCCACAGTTATGTTAATGTCTGTCACAGTGGCATGATGTCTTTGAAGAAGGGTGGCATGCAAATGAGACAGACTATTTTATCGATATTTAAAACACGTTTGGTGAGGCGCAGGAGAGGGAACAGTCAGAAGGGAGAGAGATTTTGTACCTGATGAAGGTCTCATCAGCGCATACGTGAAAGTGGCATTGAACAAACTTCAGCCAATGATTTTTTTGAAATGGTGTGCTATTAAAAGGAATGGCATTCTTTCTCATCCACTATGTTATTGCTATTTGATCTGTCAGTCATGGCAGCATTCCTGTTTACTACCTATATTTCTGTTAATTAAAGCTGCCTACAAAAGCACCATAATACCAGGAGGTGCAGGGCATTCATCCCCCACAGGGGAAGTCCAGCTTCCCTGCCTTTGCAGCACAAATCACTGCTGTGCATACCAGTGATTTGAGTGCTTATTCACTTGTCTGTCCAGCCACGTTTCGGTCAGTCTAGTTTTTTTAATTTTAAAAGACTCATGTATCTGTAGCCAGTTACATGTGTCCTTTTAAATATAACGAAGTACAATTTTCAAATAGTTTAAACTGCTCTGGGGAGGGCAACAGTGACAGTTTCGTGATGGCACAGATACTAGCCAGTCAGCCCTGTGTACTGCCTATTTTTCCTACAAATACCCAGAATAGTTTTCCCTGAACATAATCCCAAGAAAACTTTTTAAAGTCTAAACAAAACAGGATGGGCACACTTGCACTTTTTCTGTGGCTTTTGTGGTCTGGCCTATACATTCCCTGAGTAAGAGAGGAAGTAAAGGGATTTACAAAAACAGGGGTATGAATTCAAAATAAAACTTGGTTCCTTTTCATCGACCTGCATCTATAGAATAGCCCATGTATACAATCTCTTGAAGTTTATGTGAAATTTTGCCAAGACTGAATGGTGTCTAGGGATTTGAGCTAAAGAGAACACTAGAGAGTATTTATGTAAGAGCACAGGGAGTTGCAAGTAAGTCTTGTGCATGTGACTTCTTCCTCTTTAACAGATATCCATGCAACCAAATTGCCATGGTGAACTATTGCCATGAGCACCAACATCCTTGGAATGAATGAGTCCATATAATAAAATATCATCATTTCAGCTATTGTAGAATACAATTATTGCTTTTTAAAGTGTGGAGTACTTTAAAATTCTTTATGCATTCCTCCTCAAAAGCACTCTAGGTCATTACTGTTCACATTTTACAGATAGGGGAAAAAGATAAGAACATAAGAACATAAGAGACGCCAATGTTGGATCAGGCCAAAGGCCCATCCAGTCCAACACTCTGTGTCACACAGTGGCCAGAAATACCAGGTGCCATCAGGAGGTCCACCAGTGGGGCCAGGACATTAGAAGCCCTCCCACTGTTGCCCCCCCCAAAGCACCAGAGATACTAGTAAGTCCAAGGGTAATCTAAGGAATGCACAGTGGTGATGCTGTCACATAAAGACGGAGGCAAACAGTACCTTGGAACTTCAGTCGAGCAAAAATTAACAATATGATTTTGGCAATGCTGGTGCAAAAGCATACATAACATTTCCTAAGGGATTAGCTGAGCACTCTGTTGCAATTATTTTACAATACTAAGCCTCAGCAAGCAGGATAAATAAATAAAAGGGTTGGGATCAGTTTTTAATCTAATATAAAGACAGGAAAATGCAATATTCCCAGGAAGCAGGAAGATAAATGGTGAATGTGCAATGGCTGAAGCAAAATGCAACCCAAGTACAACCTTTGCTTGGCAGTGGGGGGGGGATCTTGCCTTCAAGTTATAAGGTCAGTAGGCTAGCCCCAGAATAAAGATGAGGCTATATTCAGGAACCCTGAAATATTATCCATGCAGCATCAGAGTTAACCTTACTGTAGCATACCAGAAAGCATGCTGTACAGTTAGCCAAATAGTTAACAAACCTGGACTGTTGCCCAGAGAAACCGATGCCTCAGCTACAAAGTCCTGATGCCTAATGCTCTAGCTAGCAAAAGAGGTAGTGTACTGAATATCACCCCTGGTCATTATCAGATGAAGGCAATTCTGTTTTTTGGAGAACAGTGCCACTTTAATGTAGATTAAAAAAATCAGCTGAATCCTAACACATCAAAGGGAGGTATTGATCCCAAACAGGATAATTAAACTGTATATTCTTAGCAAAGTGAACTTGGGAGAGTGACCTTGATGAGGAACAATTCTTTTACTGAGAGGTGAAGCAAGTAATAAACACCATATACACACAGAATGATAAAATAGGCTGCCAACGACCACCCATTTTACTCAGGGACATCTAACCAGATAATCTTGACTGGAGTTCCTCTCCAGCACACGTGCCTCTATAGATCTGGTTTTGTCACAGAGTGGTTATGTTCTTGCCAAGCTTGATCTTTGAATGTAATCCTTACATATGCTTAAAGGAAGTCAAGTGTTTTTTATCTGTGAAAGTCAGCATTTTAAATGCCATTTCAAAAGAGGTAACGTGCTTGTTGTTTGACCAATACGGTCTCTATCCCAGCCTCCACCTGACAAACAGGTCCTGAGTGGTTTCTGAAAGCAGTAAATCCAAAAGAGGCTTGAGGTAAACAGGAAAAAAATAACCTTTATTAACTGTCTTGGATGAAATAAGGTTGCTCAATAAAGGGGCTAGATACTATATACAAGTATAACACACAGCATTTGCTGGGCTCACACAGTTATAAGGCTTCAGGTGACAATTCAAGAGTATAGGGGGCAGCCACACTTTTATTCCTGAATCATTGGCCTTTCTAGCACCTTAGGATTCTCACAATGTAAGTCTGAGATCCTTCGGGAAACTCCAAATCTTTAGCCAGCTTTCTCTAGAAAATGGGCCTCTGAGACCTACAAAACCTTCCAAGACAGGACTTCTTCCAGTTGACCACTCTGGAGGCACAAACCTTACCTCAGCTCATGTACTATTTTAGCTGCTTACGCTCAAAGTCAGGCTCTGAGACAGGGTCCCTCCAGTCTCACTCTCTGAAGTCTCAGACTGTCTCTGACCACAGCTGACAGTGTAACTGATTGTTCTCTTTCACTCCCCGCTCCCGTCTGGCTCCTTTAGCCATCCACAGGCCTTGATGGGTTGTTAGCTGCTCTGCATACACGCCAAACAGGCGTACAGGGAATGGGTGACTGACAGAAAGGGGTAGGACCTATGCCCATCCATCACATTATCTAAAAAGGAACAACTCTGTGAAATTGTTAGATAGGGACTACTGAATGGAATGGCACCAATGAAACAATCCAGGCACTACAAAGGACCACTTCTGGAGCTCCACTGGCACAAAAGATCTTCCCTGTAATCTCCCCTCACCCCCATCATGCTCCCCCAAAAGTGGTTCCTGGGATACCCTTAGGGAAAGTATAGTGAACAACATGGTAAATAGCACTGGAAAGGAGGACTGTTAAAAATTGTCCCCAGGTGCAAAAGGAAATATCAGTTCTTCACCCAAGCGGCTTTAGCTGCTCACCTGGATGAGACTAGGTTAGTTTTTAGACATTACCTGCTAACTCCCACATTTTATTCATTAAAGTTTTTAACAGTAAGAAAATTGTTCTGCTCCAAATAATGTGGAATTATCTGGCGGATACAACAAATCTGGCTGGTACAATATGGTCGTATCCCAGATTCTTTAGAAAAATCCTTCAGATATGTCAACAGAAAAACCATTGGATCCAAAATGAACAGATATGTAATTCCCCCCTCCCCCACATATGCTTTCATCTTTGGGCAAACAGTATCTATTTCTTCTTTATTTAAAATTATTTGGCCACTGTGTGACAGAGTGTTGGACTGGATGGGCCATTGACCGGATCCAACATTGGCTTCTCTTATGTTCTCAAAATATTTGTATTTCCTGTTTTTCTCCTGAGCATCTCAGCAGAGTAATATTAACTGTGCCATAACAATACATTAATTAAGTTGGTATTATTTCATGTTTTTTAGACATAGTATTGCAACTTCCAGAGTTAACGGTAAGTACCTGGCGAGCGCAAGGGCTCGATTTACTCTCTCCTCCAGACCAGCTGTTCCCAGTGCTTTCCATGTCATCCAGAATTTGAAGGCATCTGCTCTTCTGCTACACTGGATTGATTTGTCGCCTGTGTCATAGTTGACATCATAGAACTTGTCTTGCTGGAAAAGGTATGAAGCCTTGGCAGAGTAGCATCTCTTAAGCAAGCCCTATTTTAGATGCAACACAAGATGAAACTATATTAAAACCTTTAGTATTTTCATTATAAACAAAAAATGTATTGCTGGCATTCAGGAGCACAACATAGCCAACAGTTATATGGGCATAGCCCTTAAAAGCTAGTATTACCAGAAGCCAAATTTTCAGAACAGGAGACTAGGTTAAAAAGATGTTGGCTGAACAATGAGATCATCCATTCCGAAAACCAACTTAGGAAGAGATGGAAGATTGAAGCACAGTTTCATGAAAAAATTGTATTATTCAGTATGTTCAGAGGCTAGCATCTGTCTACTCTCATTAGGTACATAATTTTGTTTAACAAAGGGAGATCTGAAATAAGATAATTTTGATGCAAAGCACGCCTACACAACTGGTTTTTTAGTAACTTCAGTCTGTGTAAATCAGATGCATTTGAAGGTGGAATTTTTGTCTGCCTTGTAGATTGGGAGTATAAGAACCTTGCTCTCTGGCTAACCCCAGTATGCAGTGCTGGAAAAAATGACAAATAAGGATTAGGGTCTAATTAGATGATACCTTAAAGTGGGCTAGTTGGGGAAACCTCCAACACAACTCACATTTAACGTATGACCAGCACTGACCTTCAAAATAGTGTGTGGAGCAAACAGGCTCCTGAGCGTGCACAGCAGCAGCAGAGTGCAATTTCCTCCCATCCACCCAATGTGCTTTTGCAGGCAGAAAAGGGCTGTGGGCGGCTGTTTGTTTTACTGCTGGTTCCATGTGTGGTGTAGTGGTTAAGAGCAGTGAATTCTAATCTGGAGAACCGGGTTTGATTCCCAACTCCTCTACTTGAAGCCTGTGGGGTGACCTTGGGCCAGTAATAGTTATCTCAGAACTCTCTCAACCTCACCTACCTCACAAGGTATCTGTTGTGGGGAGAGGAAGGGAATGTGATTGTAAGCCTCTTTGAGACTCTTTAGGGTAGAGAAAAATGGAGTATAAAAACCTACTCTTCTTCTTCTTCCTGTGTTTCTTGCGCAGAATCTATTTTTAGAGTGTGACCAATTCTGCAAAAGCAGTTGTTGCGCCCTTGGTCTCCTACTTCCTCCGCTCAATTTCCCACTATTTGCTGTGTGGCTGCACTTTGACCCACATCTTTCCCACAATGTCCCCTGCATCTTCTTGATCCTAAAAAATAAGGATCAAGTCTTAGAGAAGTCCTGATCTTAACTGGAAAAAATTCCTGAGCATGCTCAGAAGCACCATTTCCCACCAGGAAGCTAGGCATTTTCTTTTGACTCCTGATACAATATATAAAAACACCCACAACTGAAATCTTGTCAGGAAGTAACACACCTGCGGATGCTCTAGTTGAGGCTTCCATGCATGTGTTCCCAAACACATTCTTCTCCTTCTTTAAGAATAAGGATTTGTGGGGTGGGGAAGCAACCAGGATATTGACAGCTGCTGGTATGAGCCCCATTATGAGTCAGACGTAAATTCAGAACAAGCTGGTCATGGCTTGTAATGGAGTAAAGTATTCTGAAACTGGGGAGTTCTTATTCCAGATTCACCCCATTACAGTTTTTACTGGATTATTACTGAAACTGTTTCTGAGTTACATTAAGTCTCCCCATAAAAGGTCAGTGGTTTCTGGAGTCAAATGCACTGTCACATTTACAAAGTTACTTCACTGGCACAAACCCCACCAGGCGATGAAACCTTTCGTTGTATTCATGTCCAGCTCTAAATGTTATCATATAACTTGTACCATTCCACATCATAAAGTCACACATAGGATCTTTCTCAAAAAATCTCTGCTTTTAAAACCAGACAGAAGAGAAACCGTTTTATGACACAATAACTCCCATCTTAAAACGAAATTATTTCACTCAGTGATTCATAGGCTTTTTTACTTCTAAAATTAATTCCACAGAAAATGCCATTACAAAACATCAGATTGGTGATGAGCACTGGAATATTAAACTGAAATGAATGTGTCTTGAAAATGAATTTCAAGAACAGCAAAGTCATATGACACATGAGTAAAAAGAATTTTGAAAGAGCGTGAGACACAATATTCAGCAATTGAAACCAAGGCAGCTAGAGTAAGGAGGGGTTAATAGGATCAGGGAACATAAAATCTGTGGGTTGCAGGAACCCACTATGCATTTTTTTCCTTGGCTTCTGAAGAGTTGTTAGAATGCTGGCAGTCTCAAGTTTCATTTGCTGTAAAGTTTCTAGACCTCATGGCTCTATGTAATTATAGATGTTTGTCCTACAGCCTGAAGATTTAGAAGCAGTCTCCCACACCATACAAATTACGTTTTCAAAATCCTTGCCTTCTAACCTCATGATTTCAACAGTTCTGTTTAGCAGTGTCAGTTTTTAATCACTCCGTGTTCTGTTATGAGTTTGCTATAATTCCTAAACAGATTAAAATATGTAAAACTAAAGAGTGCCATCATGCATTGAGACTGCTCTTTGCTGATGCGAGAGAAAAAAATGTCAACACAAAACATTAATGAAAAAATATATTAAGCACTACCACTTCTAATACAGTGGCACAAAACCCACAAATCATATTGCTGAAACTGTGCAACATGGCCACCAACATGATGCCTCCCATGTTCGTAATACTTATGCATAATGGGTTGGATCCTATGGCTCCCTTCTGCCAAGTCTGAAACTGCTTTTTTCCCTTACTGGAAGAATGCAATTGGACTTAACCAGGGGTCATTTCGTAGAAAAAGAGGTGCAGGAACTCATTAGGATAACTCATTAGCAAAACCTATTTGCATATGCCACACCCACTGACACCATCGGAAGTGTGTCAGAAGGCAACACCCACCGCGCACCACTGGACAGTTTTGGATTGCTAGCTATTGGGGGGGACGTGCAGATCTGACCTCACAGAGGAAGGAGAGCTTGTACCTGAATAAAACTTGGTCTTAAAGGTGCCACTGGACTGTTTTGGACCGGGGGGTGGGGGCGCTGCAACTTACCTGGTTGCTTCTTGCTCTGACTGAGGGCTGCTGGGAGCAGGGGGTGGGGCTTGTTGCATGTGCCCACCCCCTGGGCTCTTTACTGCCAGAGCTCCGCTCCTGTGCGCTCCTGCAGGAAATGACCCCTGGACTTAACCTACAGTGCTGGCTGAATCTTCAAAATGTCCATCTGTGTCCTTCCACACATACAGCTCAAGCACCTCAGAGGTGAGGAGGGCGGCCATTAGAGACAGGTTATTTTCTGTCATGGCCCCTCTTCTTTGAGATGCTTTCTCCCTTCAGGCTCACTTGGTACCTACTTTACTGTCTTTTAAGTCGCCAGACCAAAATGTATCTTTTTATCCGGGCTTTTAACTAGGGCTTTTATCTTTGCAGCTTTTTTGCAGTATGTGCGATCTGAGGTCTGTTTTAGGGCTATTTTTATGTTGTATAGGGCCCATGGCTTGTTGTTTTAATTGTAAACATCTCTTGCCTGGCTGATATAGGAATTGAGCAGGATTCTGATGAGGATGCACAGAAATCTGCTAAATAATAAATAAATGAATGAATTCTACCAGCTTTTTCATTCAGTTTCTTCCCGTTTCCCTCTTCACTGTAGCCACAGTCCCATGTGGCTTTTGTATACGTGTCCCTTGATCCATGGTAGTTTTCAGTGGAAAAGCTGGCAGGATACAGCCCATTGCAAGGAAGATTATTTTCCCTCTATGGCAGATACAGAACTGGGCCTGAAGCCAGGAAAACTTTCCTGGGCAACCTACTTGTGAGGGAGGAGGACTACGAGAGCGGTGCATGGGCCCTGAGTTTTAAATTAGCTGGGTGGGGCTGCAGTGGGCAGGGCAGTTTCCTCTTCCCCAGACTGGAACCTGACGAAAAGGCAAGTCTGACTAAAGAAAGAAGAGGAAGAACTGCAAAGAAAGGAGACAGCCAAGGGAAAACTTATATGCAGGCAGCTCACTCAAGGGAGGAGCAAAGACATGGAATGGAGAGGCTCTGTGGACTGGTGGAGGCCAAGAGGAGCAGCAGAGAGCCACAACAGGCACAGGGGACAGCAGACAGGGTCCAAACAAACCTAGGGAAGGGACTGCAGACTCATATTAAAGGGACAGCAGTCTTTAGCTGGCCATGTAAAGAAGAGTATATAAAGGACTCACAGCAGTTGATGATGAGTGGGCAAAAAGGGGAACATGGTGTAACAGGTGTCCCTGCCCCAGGCACTGTGGAGCACAGTCATCCATAGTTGATCTGAAACTTGATCCAAGGACTTCCTGGCTCATAGTCCACATCTTAGCCACATGCTATACCAGTTCAGGTAAAGTCATTTTTGTGCAATTAAAATGTGCAAGCATGCTGGGGACCTCTGGATTGCAATTCATTTCTAGTGTGGTCCTTTCATCTGTATTCTGTAAGGCAATGTAATGTACCATCCTGGAATGCTGGATCTTCTGGCCTCACTTTGGTAATAAGTGTATTTATCTTTCCACTGAGCATAACACTTCATGCATTTGATAACGCTTGCGGGTGCTTATGCCACAATGAAGGTACTGGTTTTCAAGTGGCCGCAAGACTCTTTATTGTTGCAGCTGAGAAGGCTGCTCAGTTCAGAGTTATTAAATGAGAAAATGACAGCAGATATACAGAAGCCCTTGAACAATGAAAGGACAAGAAGTACCAAAGCTGTTTGTAGTCAGCATCCAACAAATTAAAATTCTGTATCAAAGAAATTCAAACTATGATAACTATGCATATTTACTCTGACCAGTCTGTTCTGGACTGGAGGAAGAATGGAGGGGGTGGGGAATGGTAATTAGTGGTAGGTAGCTGAGAAGCAAGCATTTAATCTGGCAGGGAAAGGGAGACAAATTCAAAGAGAATAGAAGTCAGAGACAGGACGGGGGAAAGGACACTCCTGATTCAGTTCCATCAAATGCTCTCAAAAATATAATTGGTCTGCTGAGGGTGCAGGTTAAAGATACCCTGTGCCATTTCTTGCAGAGCATGAAGGTTATAGAACCACACAGCAATTCAAA